TCTCCCTACATCACCTAGGGACAATGGCAGGAACCTCTTGGAAGGCTGCCTCTGTGGAACAATGAGTCAGACAGCATGAGCGGGAATGGATGCATTATGATCTGGATCAGAGCTGTCCTTACATTATCTTCCCCTCTCTTCTCCCCACACACAATCCATCCATCTTCCAAAATAACCTATTATTCTTGAAGTCACCACCATCCTTCCAGTAATCTAGGTTTGCAAAACCTCAATGTCAACTTTACTTTCTCTCCTCCCATCCCACATATCTATCAATTGCCAGGGTTGTTGGTTTTACAACTGCCTCACTCATGTGGGCCTTTATCTCTCTACTCAGAGTCCGCCACCCTAGTTCAGGCCGTTATCACAAGATGACTGGATGTGGCTTCCTAATGGTTTCTCTGCCTAAGTTAACTTCTCTCTCCAATTCATCTTCCCTGTAGCTGCCAGTGATCTTCCTAAGGTGTAGGTCTGATCATATTACTCTCTTGCTATGTAAGCTCTAGGAGTTCCCTCTTGACTGTAGGATTAAATGTTATTTTATCTTTATCTTTTCCTCTTAAATTTTATATTTTTATATACGGTTTATATTTTAGTACAGTAGTGTATGTATATAATTTATAAGTAAATTTTGAGACCTCTGTTCTAGAGGATTTCTGTTTGGAGTGAGAGTTTGTACTTCATGACTTTTGAGGTGTCTTCTTGATTATAGAATTAAAGCTGTTGATTCTTTTTTTTTTTTTTTTTTGCTAGGCCGTGGGGTTAAGTGCCTTGCCCAGGGTCACAAAGTTAGTAAGTGTTATGTGTCTGAGGCCATAATTGAACTCACGTCCTCCTGAATCCAGTGCTGGTGCTGTAACTACTGCGTCACCTAGCTGCCCCCTAAAGCTGTTGATTCTTGTTATCTTTTATCCACATTAGAAATTAATTAGACCCTCTTCTCACCTCCTAATTTTTTTCTTTTAAAGGCAAAAGCCTGAACTAAATGTTGATTTCAGAGTATAACTTCTTGGTATTATGGATCAAGACAGCCCTAATGTTACTAACAACAAATACGAGACAATAAGGACATACATTGGAATTTAAGGAGTGAGAGTTGCAAGCTGATAATGCAATTAATTATTATCTTAGAGAAGTGTCAAAGTGACAGTGAAAAATCCTTAATCAAAGGATTCTAGAGAATTTGCATTTAGGATACAATACATGCTTGATTGCAACATTACGTGGGTTATTTTAGTTACAGTGAGAAACCTTTATTACAGAGCTTCTGCCTATTGGGGCAAAAACAAATCTATAGTTTATAATACAGGGCTCTTCCTTTATTTTTTATGATTGCTATATGGCTGTATATCCAGGATAGGAAAGATTTTTGAATTGGATGGGAAGTTGTACTAGATGACCTTTAAAGCTTTTTCCAATGATAGGCACGTTAATGAGGTGTTGGTGGAACCATAAATTGGTCCAATCATTTTGAAAAACATTATACTAAAAAAGTCAATAAACTATACATACCCTCATCCAACATTACCACTACTAGGCATATACCCCAAGGAGGTGGAAAAGGTAAAGTTCCCATATGTTAAATCAATGATCAAGCATTTACTAAGCACTCTTTTCCTGGCACTGTGGTTGGAAATGCAAAGACAAAAAATTGAAACAATCCCTGCCTTCAGGGAACTTACAGTCTCTCAGAGGAGATGACATATATAACATTTATAGCTTAAGGCCTTCCAATCTTTCCAGTCTTCCTATATTTTACTTACCTATATACTTACACTAGGATTGGGCTATACTTTCCCCCATACTCTGTCACACTGTCTCCTGTGTCTTTGCCCTTGCACTGGCTATCCCCCCAGCCCAAAATGCTCACCCTTTTCATTTCCACTTGTTTGAATCCTGTGTCAGTGTGAACAAATAAATACAAGTTATTTTTTGAGAGGTGACACTAGCAATTGTGATATTCAGTAAAGGTTTCGCTTATTTAAGCTGTCTCTCAAAAGAAACTGTGGGTGCTAAGAGGCATAAGTAAGTAGGGATTGAATTTTGTACATGGAGGAGGAGGAACAGCGACCAATGCCAAGGTGAGGAGACAGGAGATGGCATGTTGCATGTGAAGAGGGCCAAACAGGCCAATTTGGCTATTTAGAGTGTGTGAAAGTAAATAGTGTATAATAAGCCTGTAAGTTGGATCCAGATTATGAAAGGCCTCAAGTGACTGAGGAATTGTATTTGGCCCTACCCTTGAGTGAATAGCCATTTGAGTTTTTTGAGTAGGGTTGTGACATTTTGCTGTTGTTCAGTCTTGTCAGACTCTTCATGACCCTTTTTGGGGTTTTCTTGGCAAAGATACTGGAATAGTTTGTCATTTCCTTCTCCAGTTCATTTTACAGATGAAGAAACGAGAGGCAAACAGGGTTAAGTGATTTACCTTGGGTCACAAAGCTACTTAAGTGTTCAAGGCTGGATTTGAACTCAGGAAGATCAGTCTTTCTGACTTCAAGCCCTGAACTCTATCCTTTGTGCCACTTAACTATCCAGACTTGTGACATGGTCAGACTAAAAATTACTCTGGCAGATGTGTGGAAGATTGATTAGAGAGGAAAAAGACTTGAGTCAAGGAAATAAATTAGGAGACTATTGCATAATCCAGGCAAAAAGTGGCTCTGAGTGGAAAGAAGGGGACATGTTGAGAGATGTTGTAGAGATAGAAAGGACGAGATTTGAAAACTGGATATGGGGAGAGAGGGAGGAATCCAGGAGAACACCATATTTGCCAAGCAAAGCAATGGGAAGGATGGTATTGGGGACAAGAAGAGGGAAATTAGGGAGGGGATGGGTTTGGGGAAAGATAATGAGTTCTTTTTTGGATATGTTTGAAATGAAGAAACCAAGTCCAGGAGAAGTGAAGTGACTTACTCAAATTCATGTAGATAGTAAGTGACAGAGCTGGGATCTCTCTAACCTGTTGAAATCCTAATGATTATTGGAAACAGAAATCTTTGCTTTGTCCTTTGAGTCGTTTGTAATTTTAGTGCCATGACTTGTAGCATCAGAATAATGGTATTAACAAAATGGGCTTTTGTGACAGGGAAGAAACCCTGTATGTAAGTATGGGATCATTGAAAGCATTGTGCAATTTACCAAATGTAGTCTAGCATAATATTTTCCTGCTCAAAATTTAGGTGAAGTATATTGACCTGTTTTCTTCTGGTTTTATAAGTGCAAAAAACCCAAACAGGCTATTTAATTCATCTGTTCATCCATTGAGGTTATTGTGTGCAGTATGGATCTAAGTTTATTTTTCTTCCTATTGTTATCTAATTTGCCCTGTAGCATTTATTGAAATTCCTTTCCCTCCTATGTGATTTTATCAGGTTTATAGCATAGATCCAAAAACATAAAAAAGATTAAGAAATTTCTAAAATCTATGTTTCAGTGGTCTCTTTCTGTTCTTTTAAAAATTAAGTAATTATTTAATTTTCTAAATTAAATTTTAATTTTAATTATTATTTAATTTTCTAACATATAAAATAATAGTAAAATATTTCAGAATATGGAAGTTTCTTCCCTACCAGTTTGCTCTTTTTAAAAAAAACAAACCTATTTCCTAAAATACTCTGGCATTTTTGCTCACTAATTTTTCCATATACATTTTGCTGTCATTTTGTTTACATAAAATGTTCTACTGGAATTTTAGCTGCTAGTGTTTTAAATCTGTAAACTTCTAGAATAATGTCATTCTTATGCAATTTACTCTTCCTAGCAAAGAGCAAGGTATCTCTTTCAGTTGATTCTGCCAGTAAAGGTAGATGGTTTTCTTCTTTATTTAAGTCTCATATGTCTAATGTTAGACTAATACCCAAACATTTAATTTTTATTATTCTTCACTTTAACTTATAATATATCTTGTAACTATAATAATAATTTTTAAAAATACCTGATGCTTATGCAGTACTCTGGAGTTCAAAATGCAGTTTATGTGGAGGTCACATTTGAGTCTCACAGCAACCCGCTGGTGGATATAGGTTACATGTATTATTATCCCCAGTTTTATAGAAGAAGAAACTGACTCAGAGATGCTGTGACTTGTCCAGTGTCATCCAGGAATTCATACATACTTAAATGAAATACTATAATAGGTAATCCATTTTAAACAGGTTAAAGGCAGCAGAGTTTACTATTAAGTCTATTCCCACTTTCTGTGATTAGTGAGAAAGTTGTTTGTTTACACAGATATTGCCTGATTATCCTACTTGGGGCAAGTAAAGTATTTGCAAAATTTTCCTATCTCTATAATTAGAACTTCTCATTTTATATTTTATCATTTAATTGGGAATTTTCATTTCCCCAAATATCCTACCAAATCTGAGCTATCAATGAGTTGTAAATTTCATCTTATTTTTGAAATAATAAAAAAGTTTTTTTAGAAATGATAAAATAAATTTATAGTAAAATTATATTAATCATAATAGAAATAATAAAATAGGTGTTTTTTTAAGAAAATAGTGTTCTTTTAGTCAGCATTATCTAAATTATTTTCTGCTTCATTGTTTTGATATACTTGAGAGAAGATCATCAGTTAAGTGTTATGTACTTAGAGTCTTCAAATGAGCCCTCATTTAATCATAAGTATACTCTCTACTAATGTGAGATACATACCCTGAACACCCTGCACAGGAAGATGAAGTGCTGGAACCTCTTAAAACCAACAATCTGGTCACAAGCCTCTCAAAATAATTAAAGTTTTTCTCATTTGGTGTAGGGCCTATTAGAGCTTGTGCTTGGATTATTACCTAGCCTTTAAAAATTTGGGGTCATTTAACATCAGGAAGATACATTGGAATTGGATGTTAGTTGGAGCATACTTATTTGGTAGGTAGTAGCAACAGTATTTTTGAAATATTAATACCACTATCTTTTCAGATATTTAGTATTATGAATAATTTTGTGAACTTGTCATTTGCATGGCTTCAGCTATCATTTTTTCCTCTACTTTCTAGGAAGTGACAGCTAGCAGTCGCCACTATGTTGACAGGCTATTTGACCCTGATCCCCAGAAAGTCCTACAAGGTGTTATGTAAGTAGCATTTATTTAAGAGCTTATTTTAAGTTTTGTTTGTTTTCAGAATTTGAATCTTATGTTTTTTCACTTGGATTATCTTTAGAACAATACATATCACTTAGTGATTCTGCTAATTTTGGTTTTGCAATTTAAGGAATTAAATTTTTTAGTAACTGAAGAGGAAGGGTAGTGCTACTCACAGTTACAAATATTTCCTGTGTGAAAATATTTTTGCTATTATAATAGAGAACTGGTTGGTACTGTAGAATGAAATTGGTGTTCTTTTGATCAAATTACAAAAGACGCTTACCTTATATTCCTCCCCCTCCCACCAATATTTTATTCTGAGTTTTATATGGATGGGTTCCTATCTTCTGAACTTTTATTTACAAAAGACCAGCTGTTTACATAGCTATCAGTAGCAAGGTTAAGTGGATTTTTAAAAATTTTTAAGTGTTTTTTTCAGCAATTACTTGATGTTTAAAGAAGACAGTTTTGAAAGAATGTAGTTGTGTTTGTGTGAGTGATACAGAGAAAGAAAATAATGTAATTCCTTTTCCTTTCATATTTTTGATTTGGGGCTTAAGAATTATGGGTCCATGGGACACCATCATTTATTTTAGTTCTGGTTTATTGTTTGAAGCTTCTCACTGGGTTTTGGCACATCATGGACCCACAATCCTGTACTTCCTGCTTAAGAATGGTTAGAGAATGACAGAAGTTGAGAAGTATTTGGTTAGGTATATAGCAGCATATGCACTGACTAGTTTTCTTTTTCCACTTCCATGGTGAATTTTTCATTTTTAAGTCAATAGCACCTTTTAATTTAACCCTTTACTTGCCTTGGAAAGGACAGTTTCAATTCAATTCAACAAATATTTTTTACATAAATCTTGTGTACAGAACACCCAGGTAGACATTAGGGAGAGGCAGTAGTTTAGAAAAGACAGTCTCTGCCTTCCTAAAACTTAACACCTTACCTAAATAACTGATATAAAATGCTTGATAACTACATTAGAGAAACACAAAACAAAGTGCTTTGTTAAATCACAAGGAGAGAAAGTTGTTACTAACTGGAGAGGTAGAGGAAGGTTTCATGAAAGAAGTTGTTGTATTTGAATTGGGTTTTAAGGGATAGGGATTAACTTGACATAGGCAATAAGATAAAGCTATTGCATGGAGACAAACAAGAAAGATGTTTTCAGAGAAGGGAGTAAGTAGTCAGATGTGTCTCTTGTTTCATGGCTTCTTGTTTGGGCTATTGTCATAGCCTCCTAACTGGTCCTCCTAACTTGAAACCAGTCTTTCCTCTCTCCTGTCCATCTATCCACATGTTAAATCAATATTTCTTTTTTAAAAAAAATTTATTTTGAATTATCAACAATCACTTCCATGAGCTTTTGAGTTTTAAATTTTTCTTCCCCTCTCTTCCCACCTCCCTCCCCAAGACGGCGAAAAATCTGATATAGGCTATACATATACATTCCTATTAAACATGTTTTCACATTAGTGATATTGTAAGGAAGAATTAGAACCAAGAGGAGGAACCACCAGAAAAAGGAAACAAAACACAACAGAAGAAAAAAAAATAGCAAATAGTATGCTTTGATCTGCATTCAAACTCCATAGTTCTTTCTTTGGATGTGGATAGATTTTCCATCATGAGGCGTTTGGAGATGTCTTAGATCCTTGTATTGCTGAGAAGGTCTAAATTTATCAATATTAGTCATCACACAATGTGGCTGTTACTATGTACAATGTTGTCCTGGTTCTGCTCACTTCATTCAGCATCAGACCATACAAGTCTTTCCAGGTTTTTCTGAAGTCATCCTGTTCATCATTTCTTCTTCTTTTTTTTCTATCTATCTATCTATCTACATACATATAATTTTTTTCCTCCAACTACCCTAATACTGACAAAGGTCTCATAGTTATAAATATCATCTTTCCATGCAGGAATGTAAACAGTTCAATCTTAATAAGTCTCTTATGATTTCTCTTTCCTGTTTACCTCTTCATGTTCCACCTGTATTTGAAAGTCAAATTTTCTATTCAGCTCTGGTCTTTTCATCAGGAATGCTTGAAAGTCCTCTATTTCACTGAATGACCATTTTTTCCCCTGAAGGATTATACTCAGTTTTGCTGGGTAGGTGATTCTTGGTTGTAATCCTATCTCCTTTGCCCTCCGGAATATTATATTCCATGCCCTGCGGTCCTTTAATGTAGAAGCTGCTAAATCTTGTGTTATCCTGATTGTGTTTCCACAGTACTTGAATTGTTTCCTTCTGGCAGCTTGTAATATTTTCTCCTTGACCTGGGAACTCTGGAATTTGGCTATTATATTCCTAGGAGTTTTCCTTTGGGGATCTCTTTCAGGAGGAGATCTGTGGATTCTTTCAATTTCTATTTTGCCCTCTGGTTCTAGAATATCAGGGCAGTTTTCCTTGATAATTTCTTGAAAGATGATGTCTGGGCTCTATTTTTGATCATGGCTTTCAGATAGTCCAATAATTTTTAAATTCTCTCTCCTGGATCTATTTTCCAGGTCAGTTGTTTTTCCAATGAGATATTTCACATTGTTTTCTAATTTTTCATTCTTTTGGATTTGTTTTACAGTGTCTTGATTTCTCATAAAGTCACTAGCTTCCAATTGCTCTATTCTAATTTTTAAGGAAGTATTTTCTTCAGTAGTCTTTTGGACTTCCTTTTCCATTTGGCCAATTTTTCTTTTTAGGGCATTTTTCTCCTCATTGGCTTTTTGGACCTCTTTTGCCATTTGGGTTAGGCTATTTTTTAAGGTGTTATTTCTTCAGTATTTGTTTGGGTCTCCTTTAGCAAGCTGTTGACTTGTTTTTCATGATTTTCTTGCATCACTCTCATTTCTCTTCCCAGTTTTTCCTCTACTTCCCTTACTTGCTTCTCAAAATCCCTTTTGAGCTCTTCCAAGGCCTGGGACTGATTCATATTTTTCTTGGAGGCTTTGGATGTAGGAGCTTTGACTTTGTTGTCTTCTTCTGGTTGTATGTTTTGATCTTCTTTGTCACCAAAGAATATAGTCTGACTCTTTTTGCACTGCTTGCTCATGATCCTGGCCAATTACTTGAGTTTTAAACTCTTTGTTAAGGTAAGAGTCTGCTTCCAATGTGGAGAATGTACTGTCCCAAGCTTCAGGGGTTTGTACATCTGTTTTCAGAGATACTTGTAGGGACCTATAAATTTTCAGTTCTTCCAAGGTGGTATGATAAGGGCCGATGTGTTTACTCCTTTTCTGGCCTGTGACCACAAGTATTCCTTTCTGTCCTGTAACTGTGAGGAGGGGTTTCTCTCCACAGCCACTACAAGCTCCACCACGCCAGCACTCCTCCTCACCAGTGCTCTTCCTCACCCCAGCACTGCTGCCCAGAACTGTGACCCAGATCTAAACGCTGGCAAAGCAAGAGATTCCTGCTGCAGCACTGGCAAAGAGATACCTGTCATGCCTCTCTGATCAGCCACTGGATTCCCCCTCAGTCTGTGGGCTGGAAGCTCGGGAAGCAGCTGCCCCCCCCCCATCACGCTCTTGGGGAATGAAACTGAAACCCCGCCTTCCTTTCTCAGCACCAACAGAAACAGACTTTTTCCACTGACCTTCTAAGTTGTCTTTGGCATTAGTGGGTTGAGGAGTCTAGAAACCTCCACAGCTGCCCACGATTCAGTCCTCTGAGGTCTGCTCCAGGTTTGTTGCGGCCTGTGCGCCCATGCCGCGCTGCACTGCGCTCCCAGCCTGGGGTGATACACCTTTCTGATCAATCATCCAGGTTGTCTTGTGCTGGAAATTTGTTTCACTCTGTCTTTTTGTGGATTCTGCTGCTTCAGAATTTGTTTAGAGCCATTTTTTATGAGTATTTGGAGGGGTTTGGGGGAGAGCTTAAGCAAGTCACTGCTTTCACTCTGCTATCTTGGCTCTGCCCCCCATCATTTCTTATAACACAGTAGTTCAATCAATATTTCTAAAGCCCAGGTCTTGAAACTTTAGGGGCTCTCTTTTGCCTTTAAGACTTTACATTCTGGTTCCAGTCTTAGCTTTTTGGCTTGTGATTATACATAACTTCCTTTCTTGAGCTCCATAGCCCAGAAAACTGACATCTTATTTTGCAAACATGACATTTCCTCTCCTGCCTCTTGTGCAATTGCACAGGTTCTCTCCCAGTATGAAATGTTGTCCCTCTTCACTTTTGTGGACCAATAGTTCCCCTTCAAGGCTCAGTTCAAGTGCTATCTTTGATGCTTTTCCTGATGCTTCAATTGCTAGTGCCTGCCCAGCCCCTACCCAAGTCACTGTGTCTTTACTTTGTCTCTCTCCTGTATTTGCTTATTGGTGAACATTTTGTATTCCCTTACTAGACTATAAGCTCCTTGAGGGCAGGGCCTGCGTCATTTTTATATTTGTATCTCCAATAACTATATTGTACAAAGCAAACACATTTTAAATATTTGCTTGTTCAACTGGAGCTTATGTCTATATTTTAGCTCTCCAGTGATCTCATTGATGAGACTACTCTCTCAACCTGCTACAAGTTGAAGTTCATTCTTGATTGCCCATCCTGTGTTGTTCTTGTCTGTGTCCTATAAACATGCTAGCTATTATTACTGTTAATAATGGTATATTTGCCATTTGAGCTCCACTCAACATGTTGAGGGCCATCCTTTTGTCCTTTGACATTGTATGGATACTAATGGAATGTGCAAGCTGACCATTAGTTATTGTTCTCCTTTGCAAGATGACTGGCCCATCTTTTTTCTAGTCATGCATTTTTTTGATGACAGACTAAATATGACTACTACTGTGTAATTTCTCATTTGTATTGCATTGCAGCCTATTCTCATCCACTATGAGCTTCATTATTGCCCTTTGCAAGGCCTTCAACTTTAGTTCTTTAGAGATTGCCATATAGTATTCCATGACTTCCATTCATACAACCTTGCTAGAAGAATATTGTTAAAAAGAGATGGGCTTTTATTTCAGAGAAAAGTAT